GCAAGATGAGTTCAAGGTGCTTTGTGAAACTACGTACATGCCAAAAATGTCCATTTTGAAGTATTAACATGTTTTACTTGCTATTTATCAAAGGTGTGGGTTATTTGATGAGTATTTCATATCTGGTATATTTTGTTTTATAAATCATGGAAGTGCTCATATTTGGGTAAATAAATCAAAAGTGTGGGTTCTTTTAATGATTTATTTTATAAATGGAGAGTAGTTTGTGCTAAATGCATTTTCAATGTATTTGGTTTGGAAAATATATATCGTTGTGTTATGGAATATTTTAGAAATATAAATGGTATGGTTTTAATTAGAAAACGATCCGTCCCGATGTGTTTTTTAAATTAATCATGTCTTCCGCATTTAGAGATAGCGACAGTTATTGGGTTATAGTAACACCCAACCTAAACTTAGTCTTTATGTAAGACTTTGTCTATCTTATGTTGATGATGATTTTAGATTTGATATTCGAGTTAATTCAAGTATTGATTAATATAAAATGGATTTACCCTTTTATTTGTTGTATTAATCAAAAATTTAAATTAATCGTTCTTTCCAGATTTGAGGGTATTACAAAATATCTTCACAACAATTGTTTACTCGCTGACTCGCCAACCTTTCCTCGAGCTTTGGAGCTCTGATTGGTACATCATTCTTCGAAAACCATCAAGCCACCTTATTCAAGCTTTGCCAAACTGGATCAGTTTCCCACTATCAAACCGAAGTTGAACGTGTTAGCAATAGCGTCATCGTCTTTCTCTAGAAGCCCTTCTCAACTGCTTTATTGTCGGCCTTCACATCGACATCCAACAATAGTTATCACTCCACAATCCCTCCTCCATACACCAGGCTTACAGATCGTCCAAATTTATCTTCAATAAATTAGCCAACATTTCTCCCACAACTGCATCAGATCTCACATCGCTACATTCTCACCCCCGTCGCCTCTACCACCGTCCCCATCGACCACCCCAACGATCCTCCCCACACCACCACAACTACCAATCGCTCTTCCTTTCGTCCATTGACATTGGAAGAGTTCTGAGTCGGCCACTCCCAAGGCCTCTGCTTTCGTTGCTCTGAAAAGTATCACCTGGGACACCGTTGTAATCCGCCTCAATTCCTACTTCTTGAGTCCATGGAGGAGATCCCAACATCCATTCTTTTCGAACCGGACCCTGGTGTTTCGGTTGCCTCTACACCGTTCTCCCTCTTTGTGATTTGTTTTTTTGTTTTTCAATTCTTCCCTTAACAATAATTTAATGGAATACATATAGACATATCAAAAAAGATGGCGAATAGAAAACCAAAAAAAGGATAAAAAAAGATGGTGATCGGTAGCAGGGGTCAACGATGGTGATGAGCGATGATAGATAGCAAACGATAATGGGATGGCAGGGGGGGTCGATAGCGTTTAGTGCGGAAAGTTTGAATGACATAAACTTTGAGAACTATAAAACTAATTACGTTTGTTTACTTTAAATTTAAACCATATTTTTCAGTTACATTTAGCCTTTTTAGGTTAAAAAAAATTTAGATGACAAATTTCTAAAAATTCAGTAGTTTATTTATTTAAAAAAATTGTCTACCAACCTAATCAGTTAAAATAAAAAGCTATTTTTGTAAAAAATTAATCATTTAAAATGAAAAAGTCTAAACTTTAACCTTAATTTTATTATTATACAAAAATCATAATATAATTTAAAATATAAAAAAAACATAAATAAAAATCAAGTTTTTTTTTGGTGGACGATCAAATTAGGTCAAGATGGAGGAATCGTGGCCCCATCAAGTCATCAAGATTACGAATGGTTTTATAAATGATCGATTATTTAAAGAGCTATTAAATAAGGTTAAATATTTTAAATGATTAACAATTATATGATTTATAAAATTATGAATTTGATCCCTGTGGTTATTATTTTGTTACGATTACGATCCCTATCACTAACGTTGTTAACGGTGACTCTGTTAACTTAGTGACATTTGAGTCCTTTTATATTTTTTTTGAGAGGGATCATAGTCATAAAAAACCGACAACTATAGAGACCAATCCATAATTTCGAGTTTAGGGATGCTAATTATAATTTTTCATAAACCATAAGGACCAAATCCGTAATTTACTCTAATTTTAAATTAGAAATTTATTTAAATGATAATATTATTTAATAATAATAAATAAAAAAAGGGTGAAAAAGCAAAGGCAACAGAAGAGGTTGGTGGGGGCATGTACTCTCGTTGCTGAAGTGACCTGTCTCTCATGGGTAAACCTTCTTTTTTTAGTCTACGTGGCATCCTCACGTGCTGTCTTTCACGTGCTTCCTTTTTTGCTGGTTTTCTTCAGATTTACGTGGCCCCACACACCTTCTGACACCTGTCCCTTCTCCATCGCCATTTAAAAAACAAAACCTACAAGTAATATCTATACTATATTATAGAACATTTTATAAAAACTCTTATAAACCATTTTTTATGTATAAAGTACTATTTATTGATGAATGTTATTTAAAATTTAAGATTACAAATAAATTATGCGTAAATACAACTTATTAAAGTTACATGTTTAAATTCGTGTAATTAACTGTAGATAAACTTAATCAAATAGAGAATAAACATCTCATTTTAAATATAAAAAATCTAAAATATAATTAAGATAATAATTGAGTTCTAACAGAATACTTAATTATCATCTTAAAAAATAATTTTTTTTAAACAAAAAATAAATTAGTTCGTTATTAAACTTCAATTAAATTACAATAACAAAATTAAATTAAAGAAATTACACAAAAACGATAACTTTTAAATAGTTAATTTGATAATAATATTGATTATTTTTTAAATTTTTTTATAATATCTTCAAATTTATATTTTATTTTTTTCAAAACCATATAAAATCGTATTGTAACATCGATAGACCCAAAATATAAAGCGAAACAATAAAATCAAGATGTATCCCGCTGCATTGTATGAGTATCCTTCCGGTCTTAATAAAACAAATTGTATTAAGATGGTAAATACTTAGATTTATTTTTTTGGTTTTAAACACGTCAATACTTTTTTTCACAAAATGAGAATCAACTCATATAAATAATGCTTTTCCATAAAAACACTGCGTATACAGCTCTTTTAGAAACATAAAAATAAAACAGTATTTATATAATAGTTTAAAAAGTAAGTTCACAATAAGCATGCATGTATATACACGAACATCTTGACCCAAGCCTCATCACTCATGTGTCAATCTCCATAAGCAGAAATTTGGATACATATGCAACATTCAGATATAACATTTTCAACATTCAAACCTTGCAATAAGGTCTACTGGTCTAGCTTTTTCAAAAATCAAGAGGCAAAGGAAATGTCGACTGAAAACTGGAAGAACCAGTGTGGGAGCATATGGTGGCACATGCCACTACTTCATGGTTCCGTCATAATGAAAAGTGCAGCTATGCCAGTATCCTAATTGTCGTAAAGTGAAGGGACTTCTCCGACATGGAATGCGTTGTGGTGGTTCTTTGCAAGAAAATGTGGCATCTCCTTAAACTTCATGCTAGAGCATGTAAAGACACTCTCCCACACTGCAGGTATTTTTATCTTGAATATTCATTATGAATATTTGGTAAAATAAACATGAACTGAAAAGTTAAAAGAGTGAAAAAGGAAGGGAAAGAATTGCATTTGCAGTAGCTATTTTTATCTTAATGATTTGCTTCATCCAGAGACCTTCGGGAACATTCGAGAACGGCGGAGGGCGGCTGTTATGCAGATGATGAGGCAGCCGTGCTGTGGAGGTTGCTGGCGGGAGCAGTGGATGATGTTGTAGTTAAATATTTACAGTTTTGGGTGGCTGATTGGATGAAATTCCTATGAAATTGCTTCCATTTCATGATCCAAATTCAAGTTGAAATCAGAGTTGATGTGGAGCTACTATTTCATCTTCAGTATGATTTAGATCCATTTGGCTTGTTACAAGAGTAGAGAAACTCGTTAGATTCAACAGGTAGTCTCATAGGATTTCATTTCCAATCAAGTTTAAGGGTTTGTTTAGTAAATGCATGATGGTTCTTAATGGGTAAACACACGGTTAGACGCAATCATCTCCCTGCTCATTGAGAGACATATGGTAATATTGTTTACCCGTGTCTTCTAACCCATAATGGAGATGTCGTCCTGGTAAGCATCAAGAGCTCACTTGGTTAGCATTTACTCATATCGAAACATGATTTTCGAAGTATCAAAACCCTTACTTAGACGGTAAGAATTTATCCAATTTGATTAGGTGTTGTGGTTGTACTTTGGATATGCACAAAAAATCCCATGCCTGAAGCCTGGTGCTGGCCTAGCTTGAAGAAGCCTGGGCCTAGGCCTGAACAAGCCAACTTTTTTCTAAGGCCGGTTAAAACTGGACTTAAAAAAACCCGATTAAGCTTTCTTTCAACACGAAAGACCAACCTGGTTCCTTCTTTCGTAGATCAACTTCTAGCTAGCTATCCACTTTGATGTTTTGCCCAACTCCTTTCTAACTGTATTAGTGTTGCAGATGATTGCCTTCCTTAATGGTAACCCTTTATACATTTTGGAATTTGTTTATAACATATTTACATGTGAAAATAACCATACCCTTTATTCTTAGTAATAAATCAACTCATTAATACATGTATCATCACATGCAACTATGAAAAGTATTCACATGTGAACATGCATTATGCAAAACAAATTCTTCTATGGTGTAAAATTATAATTGTTGTAAAACTTTAATTGAATCAACTCAACTTGATCACATGCCAATGTATTTTATTCACTTGTAAATGTTGAAAATTATAATTGTTGTAAAACTTTAATTGAAGATGTTAAATAATATCATATAACAATTGTATTTCAAATGTCATGTCAAGATGATGTTACAATCACTCAACCTCATCTACATGTTTGTGTTCTGTATTGCTCATCTTCTTCAAATTAAGAAACTCAAAAGCAGAGTATTTTCAAGCGAATTTCATCTTAACCGACCGGTTACATCATAACTGCCCCAACTGTAACCGATTATCAATCTTGTCTCATTTCCCGTGGTTTTTTATGGGACAAAGAAAGGATACATTTTTGTCTCACTCAATATCGTCCTATCCCATGGTAATATTACACCAGACATGGGAATCATACATACAAAACACACAAACAAACAGAAGATAACCGTTGCCAACCTTATTTTATAGATCTAAATCACATGGATCGAGAATAAACCAGAATTCTTCGACAAAACTGATACGTGATACTTGATCAAGAACTGGAATGATCATATCACATAAGATCCATAATATCATTTAATCAAGAAATAGAAGGCTGACCAAAAGCCATGCTGCCAAAGAATCCTTCGCCATCACCATTTTCATCATCTTCTAGAATGTTCTCGAGTATTTCCTGATTTCGTACATTATTGATGATATGGAAACAAGGTCCTTGTTGAGAGCAGATCCACCAGCAATTCTTTTCATGCAATCGGAGAGTCTTGTGTAGTAAAGTAGAAGTTGGGTTAAGGCTGCTCTTAATATCTCCATTCCACAAAGGAAGTTACTAAATGAAGTCATAACATCACCGTGCATTAGCTCGATTGCTGCTTTCCATCTACTTGCAAAGTCCTTCACAAGCGGTTCAACTTCAGCTACCGTAATTGGTTTCTCGGACCCAGAACTCAGGTCCTCAGCTGCATTCAAAACATTCGAAGCTTAGTTCACCTATTTTGACCAAACCCAGTATATCCCACCTGGCAGACTTGACCTCTACCCCAAAGAGTAGAGTGTCTGTTTCCGTGAAGACCCTGGCTTGTGCGAGAAAAAAAAGGATAAACAGATCAAAAAATTCAACATAATCTCAAACCCAAGATGTCAAAGAAAGATTCAGACACTCACAGGCTCTGGTTTTGACAAACTTGATCAGATTGCCAAAATGTTCCAACAGCAATTCTTCCTGTGACAAGTAGGAAATGATTATCTTTAGTGTCTTCATACATTTGGTGTTAAATTTGGTGTATGGAGATGCTCTAATAACTTCCATTGCCAAATTACTCATAAGAACGATCACATCATTGATTGCATTGAAGGGTATTATATAGTTAATCACTCACCACATAAACAGCTGTATTATTCTTCAGAAATTCTTCAAAATGGAGCTGAATTTTCCCTCCTTCAGGACCTGCTTCCTGGAAAGCCATTGACATCATAGCTAATACATTAATAATTGTATAATTTTTGAGTATGTGAAATTGGATTATTGAGTAAATTAGCAGCGATTCTATAAACCCCCTCCCCCAACATTTTAAACCCACCCCAAGAACATTAAGTAAGAAAATTTTACGACAAGGACCATACCTTCAAAACTGCAATTATCATGTCGTAGTTATTAATAAGAAATACTGTCTGCAGTTTCGGTCTTGTGAATGTTTTGGCGAGCTTAATAAGCAAGTCATCAACAGCCATTTTCAGTCTTTCCATATTCAGGTCAAGCTGGAGGAGAAAACATTAATTAATGCATGTCTGCTTACATAATATTCGTTTGTGAAATGCAAAAGCTTCTTATAAGTCAAACCTGGCCATCTCCATAGTCAACATTAAGTTGAATAAGTGAAGCTGTAAACTCAGCATAGCGCCTCATGACATAGTGTGGGTGCACATCATCCTCCCACAATGACTTCACATTGGCATTCCGCAGACTGTGGATGTGCATGTCAAAGATCATCTTGAAACGTGGCCACAATGAAATATTCACCTAACAAGAATCATATATACTAATTCAGCATAAACATATATAGCAGAAGGAACCACGTTACCCCCAACCAACAACGTATACACATACCTTGTCTAAATAAGAATCAAGACATGGAATCCGACGCCTAGACATTATGAGCTGAAAAGAGTTCGGAAAACAGCTCCATTATATAGGATATAAGTAATTTATCATCAAAGAAAGATAGATGTAGCAGAAATCTGGTATCAATGTATATATACAAGCACAATCTTTTATGAAAGAGACATGCTGATTATTAGTCAGAAAATTAGTTTATGAAATTGAGGTTGTATTCCATCAAGTGCTTCTAGACAAATAAACAGTTTCGGAATGGCATGTAGTTACATTGCAATCTTTTATTGCCTGCAAGAACAAGCTCAGTTGCTCAACTGTCATGCTTGACACAGCTTTTTTGCAATTCCTAATCAGTATACCAAACTCTACTGTCTTCAAAAGGTATGATCATATAATTAACACAAGCTTGGTTTCATGTGCAATGTGTATGAAGAGTGAAGGAATAGAACCAAGTGAAGTTACTTCCCTAGCAACATGCTCTTTCTTCAAGGCCCAAGACAAACTACAACTATTATCCAGTAGACAATGTAAGAGGAGCATTGTACATAGAAAGACTATTACACTACCAAATAGTTTATACTCCCTCCGCCCAAGAATAAGTAAAACTTATTCCAGCATGTCCTGTACTAAGTGTAGGTTTTCTCTCTTCTATGAATTCTTCAAATTTACTAAACATATTAATCCTTGTACTCCTTTCGTTTGATGTGGATGCACAGGAATGGTTGATTAGTCTACGAAGGGGCTGTTTGGTTGGTTTTCCATCAAGTCCTGTATGGATAAAGTTGTTTGTGTGGATTAATCTGTTCGTATAGACGGGGAAGATTTTTATTTGAAAGGGTTTTTCATAGATGGAAGCTGCGTGTTTTTGATTAGGAGGGGCAGGTTTAGAAAAAACTTATAAAGCTCCTGCTATAAGCTTTACCGAATAAGCCACTTTCGTCTTTCTATATCATTAAACCACTACCAAGCAGTCATGTTTAGCTCACCGAATAAGTTGTAAGTCCCATTAAGCTCATTAAGCTGCTTACAAAAAGACCCTAAGTTGGATCTTACTAGTTGTTTATTATGTTGCATTTGTTATTTTTATTTGGTCGTTTGGTGCATTTCAGGACTATATGAACTTAAATGAGATTTGAAGTAATTCAAGGGTTACCACAATTGTAAAAGATCTCATAAGTAGCTGGTTTTCGATGAGATGCTTTCTCGATTTCAACTAGGACAGACTTGTTCTTTTTCCTAAATCGAAAATAACATTAAATTCTCATGGATTTGCTTCCCAATTGAATTTTTTTAATCACTCTTTGATTTGATCCTCACTCATAATAGGATTCCTCCAATGAATCAATACAACGTAACTAGGAGCTTATTGCATCAATAGTTTGCATCATTTGGCCTTCAGGATCAATGGAAACATGAAATCCTCTTGATCCTAGACATTTTAGTTCCCCATCTCCAACCTGAGGATTCGGCACTTATTTTCCCCGTTTATTTGACAATCATCTTTTTGTGGTTTTTATTTTAAGTTCAGTTTAGTAAGTGTAACAAAAAATCACCAAAATATTTTCCTAATCACACACCAACGAATCTCCTTTGGTAAGGTTGAGTATCATATCCGTTTCACAGACCCCTTCGGGGTGATACTTTGCCATTGACCAATATTTTTTACTTCAACCATGACAACAGGGTTCAAGATAATTATGATTATAGTCAAATAGTGATTTTCTTTCTGTTCAGTTTTATCTCCAAGATGCTCTCTTCATTGTCCCAACTAATGATGTAAAGCATAATACTTGGGTGCTATGACAAAAGTTGATAACCTCATGGAGTATGGGTAAAATAACATACTTTCAGTTTTTAATAGAGTGTGTGGTTGTAGCCCAATCATGCAAGTTATAACTAATGGGCGAAAAGAGAGATTTGTAAAGAGATAGTTCGAAGACAGTAATTCCTCTTATCATAAAAATAAGAACTTTTTTCCCTTTGGCTTCAATTTTTGTAACTAATTAATTCATCAATATACCAACTATGTTTTCTTGCTTAAATCTTTAGTAAGAATAACAAATTGTTCTTTTGCAGAGATTGACCTAAGGTAAAGTTCGTGATTTTGTAATTGTTACATTTATTGTACTTCACATTCTTGCACAGTCTACCTCTACCATATATATTTGTCATCAAAGTTACGGCATCAAACTTGTCACTCTTTCCTGCTAGTAATTAGACAATGCTTTAAATTAATGGCAGTGTGGGATATACTAAACAAGTCCTTTACTTTCTTAATATACATCACAAGTTAGTGTTGCAACTATTATTGGATAAAAGTAGTACTATAACGCATCCCAGTAATATATATGATATTAAATCATTGATAGCAAAATAAACAGTAATAACGCCCAATGAAGATATATCCTAACGGTATACAAAACTACATACATGGAGTCTGGCTTCCAATCTCTATGTAAGATGCCTGTCCGACGACTTTTTGGTAGAGATCAGCTTACATAGTTCTCTAGTTAAATCTCAAATTTACCAGTGTAGAACTATCAAGAACAAATTTCTTAATTCTATTGCCCAATCAAACTCATTAAATGCATTGTAGGCATCTTGGCTGCATCAATAATACGTAGTTAAATATTCAGAGACATTTAAAAGTATGTGGTCTCCATGTAGAATGTGGTTTGGACCAGCACTAGGTTCACTACACCTCCCATACATGGTTGTTTTCTATACAGCAGGCATAAATATAGATATTAAAAGATTTCAGGTGCTCTTGGAAAATTTTCCTAATTGCTTTACTATCTTCAAATCCAAATACCAAGAACAGAAATGTAAATCATCGCTTTCTACATGTAAGAGTATGAAAATTCTGCTATCATTATGAAGAATGTAGTAAGAGTAAGCGTAAGAAATGTGTTTTATAGATGAAATGCATATAAAATGCACTTTTGAGTTGATTCCAAGTTATTATGCTTCTAGCATAAAAAGATATTCTATCCCAACCTATGGTCATACGGGTTTCAAAATAAGTATCTCAAGTTTCAATAGTTTATTTTGTCTATTTATCTAAGATACAAATTAATACCCATGCCCCCTTGGAACACACTGCCAGTTGAAAGGCAAAACAAACAGTGGGACTTAATAACTTTCAATGAAATGTATTCATTATATGACGGGAAAAATATCTGGGAAGAAGTTATTATAACTCAAACGAAGAGGATTATCGTTATAAACGTAGCCATTACCTGGTGCTGGTGTGTGATGCGGATCATAAGCATTATACCAATTGCATCAAAGGAATTTGGGAGAACCGTACTGAAGTGCTCATCCATCACAGCAAATGGCCCTGACAAAAATTTAATATATAAAAAATATACGAAATTGAGTAAGCATCCACGATATACAGTTACTGATGATTATATATTTAAAAACACAATATCAAGATAGTCAAATATCTTGTTTTTCACCAAACAGAAAAGATAGTCAATACATTTTAGAGGTTCAATATCAAAGAAACAATTGGATCCTTGTACAAGAGATCATGTCAGGCTAAAAACCAGCAAATTGGTTGCTGCTACGCACATAGCACTATATCCTACAGATTGAGCTTCACCCAGGCCAGCTGATGTGAACACGTGTTAAAATTTCAGTTACGTTCGACTAGGTTTGAACAGAATTGAGAGCTAAAGCATGAGCATTATACCTGAAAATATTTCATAAAATACAGATTCTTCTCCAAAGAAATCACCACAGAAGACATATCTGTACAACATAAAGTTAATAGACATGTTCAGGGTGCAAAAGACATTACTGTATTTGTGTGTGTGTGTGCATGAGAGAGAGAGAGAGTTGAAAACAAATATACAGTACTCTGAAGTAGCAGTATCCATAAGCAACTTGTGCAAGCTCCTGAAGAGGACTTCATAAGGATATTTTTTTGAGCTTGCTTCAGCAATATGTGGGATTAATGAAGGCTCGTCAATTTCCTAAACCAATAGGAAGTAACATGATTTAAATGCAAGGAGGTAGGAAAACAGACAACAATAACTTGAAATTACTTGGACAAAGGAAATGCTCCCTCAAATATTTAATATGCTGCAGATATACTATTTCTTAGGTAGCAATATAAGACCTTGAGAATGTTTATCCTCTCCCCGAGAGCAAAGATAGCAGACCGGTTTTTCAAAGGTTCCCTTCCTCTTGAAAAAAGGCTTGTGCTTCTGGTGTCAACACCAATCAGATCAGTTGGACCCGCTATATCTAGTTGTAATTTCTCCAAAGCTTGGATATAAGCACGGAAATGAGCACTTAAGACCTGCCAGCATAAAATATTGCTTTCAAGTCAAAAGAAGCCACATAATGACCTCATTTTACACTGGATATGGTAGAACTACTCAAGACAATTTAAGATATTAAGAAACTGAGCGTCCATATACCTTTTAAATACAAATCACAAACTCCCTGCATGCTGAAAAACACATAATACAAAACCTCCCCCTTTCAAGATAAAGTATGATAATAGTGGCCAAGGCAAAAGATACACGAGAGAGAGAGAGAGAGAGAGAGAGAGCCATTCAAAAAATAGAAAAACAAAAGTGAGGAAATGAGTCGCCCCACAGCACAAATTTACAGATTACCTAGTACTCAAATCACTTGAGACATGTGAACAATAACAGAATTTGTGGGCTTGTAATGCAAGATAATTTTGGAGATTGTGAAAGTGGGTATGTGAGAGGAAAAAGAGATAATGGAAGATTGCAAGACAGAAGAAAGAGCCTATGCACTGTTGCATGAATTTGTATATATAGTAGAGATGCTAGGTTCTGGAATGACCACAAAGATGATGGTTTCAAGGGTAGAAGCAGGTGTCATTCAATAAGTGGACGTGTGGAGTAACCCCCAGAAATTTGTTTTTTGAATCAGTACTGTACCACCTGTAACAAGTTTACATGCATGTTAATCACTTGTCCAAAACTAGTGATGTGTTATCTTTTGTGCATCTGGGTCCATTTAGTTACTATTTTCTATAATTTTTTTCTTTGCAAATGTTTGAGACATATTTTGATAAGAATGATCCTAAGGATGCATGCCAAGAAAAGTCGTGCATTGTTGAATACCATCTAGGTTTTAGCGAATGAAATCATCGAAATGCCTAAACAAGTCAAATTTCACTAGGAAAACATTCCAATTGACTTATTCTTAAGTGAAATTGTAGAATAATCTCCAGGTCACGTGTCTGTTCGTGTGCATATTCACGAATCTTAGCTGCTCATGCACCTATTTGCTTGTGTTGTCGTACACCTGTTGATAGATCTGATCAGATTAGCCTATTCATGAACATGTTCATGTGCTGCTCATCTTAAACCCTAAGGTCTGCCATTCTGATATGGTTGTTCAAAACTGGACCTCGCAAAAGGTACATGTTACCTCCTACCCGCAGGTACTCATAGCTGTACCCAAAAATCATGGGAACCTGGAGGAATTTTGAAGTACCAATAATAACCTACAGGTCGAGCTAGTAGACCAAAGGATACATGCAAAACCCGAGAATTTAATGTTATAAAAATATATTTTTAGTGGTGGTTCGCTTTTTATTTAATTGCTTTTGACTCTTGATCCAACATTAGTATGCGCCCATCTTTCGCATCTTCACAATGCAAAAATTGACTTCAAATTTTAAACTTTACTTCAAATATTTGAAATGTTCTTATTTCTAGTTGTAATTTCATTTCCTGAAACAGACATTGTGTTGATAGATTATTCTGACCATGACTTTCAGGCAAGCTGCCATACAAATTGTCAGAAGTGTAGCATAGCTTGGGAAGGCAACTAATGGAAAAAGCTGGCAGTGTATAACTTCTTCAACAAGGGACAAGGCATTCGTACAACTCGATTAACATCATATCTCAGCTAGGAAACATGCCTAGGAAAAGATCGAGCAAAGCTCTGATAGTGGATAACTTCAGAGATACAATAGTGGCATGTGTTATTTATCTTCTCCATGGTGATAATATGATATGATTGATTTGCACCTACCTTGGCTTCTGAAAATTTAGCATCCTCAAGTTGGACATCTAAGGAAAAAGAGAGCAAAATAGTTGCAATTGTGAACTATTGTGAGGTCAAAGGTACAGCTGGAGCTTACAGAGAGTTTCATCTATGGGAAAGAGAAACCCTAGAGTTCTTGGTTAAAACTAACAAAAAAAGCAGTACACCACTGTGTTTCGTGGAATCTAGACATGATGCCTCTTATGGAGGTAACAGATCTTTTGTCAATTCTGTTTGATGATGTGACATGTAGACTGGGGTCCATTCTCTTTTATGATGAAATACGATGATGTACCTGTCCATCTATACTCATTACTAACTCTTAATAGAAAAAGTCCATCAAATAACTAGTCTACTTCATACACAACTCTTTTCGCCTCTGCTTTGCTTATATCGCTAGCTTACTCCAACTCTCCCAAACACTTGAGATTCTGGCCTTGCAACCATCTCCCTGGTGGTCTCCCTGGACATCTCAAGTATTTCTCTTAAACACACATTAGTTTTCCCAGCACAAGCACAATTGGTTGGTTGAATAAGCGCTTTTAGGCTCACTCAGTAATAAAAAAAAAGATCTAAAACTCGCAACAACCCATTATATTCTTACTAGGTCAATTTGGTCTGGCAAGTTCAGTCAAGTAGTTTAAAGAGTGAAGGTCGAATATAAGTGCTAAATTTAAATTTGGATTCGACCTCTAACAAAAATATTATTTCAAATATGATTATTGTTCTCAAATCCAGTGCTTACAAATTTTAAATTTGAGTTCTGATTTTCTAAATCAAACCAACGCCCAGTAAATCCCAGGCAAAGGTAGGGTCTGGGGGTAGGAGAAACACAGACCTTTCCTCTACCCTTAGGGGTAGGGAGGCTGTTTCCAAGGTTTTGATTTTCTAGTTTCTACAATTAATTCGAGGTTAATGACAATTTGGGAGTAAAGCATATCATAATTTTTGTAAACATAGCATTCATATAAATTGATTTCTGATCTAAGGGGTATGCATTAATATTCTATAAAAATAAGAGTCCACAGAAAAAACAAAAGATGGGTAAGTTCCTGATACAAACTTGAACATGCCACTAGACACCACTATATGCCACACATATGTAGGCATACACAAACAGAGTTTTACAAAATCTAGAGCACATGCAACACTTGTAAGATAACCATGTTGTCATATCAAGCATGAAGTATGAATGAAGATCAACTTCAATGGTACAGTATTACTTCAAATACTTTCAAGAGTTATTGGATTCGGCGAGATCTTCAAGAGCAAGCACACTATGTACGAATTCAGTTCTAGTACATTGAGACGTATCTCGTTATTTTAAATTACATTTGAGGAATTCCTGGTGAACGTAGTACATCAGTACTAGCTAGAGGTAGACAGCTTAACCGAAGCAATAGAAAGAACTTTTATATATGAAAACTGTCATTATAAGAACAATTACAGCAGGAAGGATTCCAAGATCACTTCATGAAAAAGCATACCTTAGTGATCACCCAGCAGATTGATATAATGATGCACTAGAATGTCTTATTTCTGCATATGGCCATTTGGCACACGACCTCCTTCCCCCTAAAACACATCACACACTACTCTAGAGACATGGTTGTAAATTGCTAGAAAATCAATGTGTTTTTGAGTCATCTCATTTCCCTCTAAACCCTTAGAACAAGGTGTAAAACTTGACTAAAGTTAAAACAACATAATAACCGATGTCTGCTGAATTAGAATGAGTTATATTTGTCTACCTTGTTCATCGTATCAGTATATGCTGCCCGAACTTCAGTATAAATCTCCTTCCCATGCTCCTTGAGAAAGGAAATAACATACCTGCATGAGCATGATCATTTAATAACGTATGAGCTAATGCTAAAAAAAATTGATCAGATGAGAGCTAACTTAAGTAAAAATGGAAAAATAAAAAAGCCAGCTCAATATGAAGCATCAAGATGGCTGCCTATGATACTTCAGTCAAAGAAATTTCTTGATGTTCTCAAGTAAGCATACTTATTGATATAATAGTTGCTACAGGTGAATAATCTGTCATTTCATTCCAACTTTCCAGTCTCAGTGAAATAGTACAGAAGGCATTGATATTCATTTTAAGGTTCCATTATTACCGGACATACCATACTAAACACATTTATATTTTAACAGGAAACTCACTTATATTTTAACAAGATGCTCTGCTGAAGAATCTGGATATTTGTTTTAGGTTTCCTCAATGCATAAAGCTTCTGAATCATGAATTCAAATACCTACATAGTGGAAAGAATTTGAAAACAAATATACAGGAAACAAAAGTGAGTTCAGGAAATACACAAAAAAAGGAATAATGGTAAAGAAAACCAGATGTACATTCAACATTAGTTAGGTGGCACTTCAGACATGTCTTGTTTCATAAAATCAACAGCAAAAGGGTTTATCATAATTGGGCATTGTCGATTTACTGAAGAAGCTAGTAATCCAATTATCTACCCACACTTTACTGTAAATCAACTCTGAATCTGCAGTATACAGCAAGAATTACATATTCATCACCATGCTTAATGAAACCTATAGTATTCTTATGAGATAAGAAATTATCACTTCTGCTAGGAAAAAAACAATGATGCAATGTTTCTCTGAAAACAGAGTCCATTGCAAATCAATCCAAGAAATCCGAGGGCAAAATCAAGCTTGCTAGATAGCATGGCCATGGAAAATAATAAACTCGCATCTAACTGACGGTGAGGACCAGATTCGTAAACTAGGAATCACATTACTATGCATAAAATCCTCATGCTCCTTGGTGAAGCTATGAATAACTAGAGTTCATCAATAATTAATTCCAGCACACATCTTTCCTTAGGAATATGTTATTTTTCCCTGAACCATAGTCTTTCTCTTCGACATTTTGATGAATCAAATTTAGTTGATAATATCCTAGAATAAATGAAAGAAACCCAAACACAATTAAGATAGCAGATATCCTAAATCAAGCAACTCTTTCTTCTACTCTGTTTACGATTTTCGTTTACTTAGTATATTGCTAGAAACTATAGTAGATTCATTCGACAGCAACCACTTATGTCACGCATGCTTATTTTTCACTGATCACCCACAGCAGTCATAATCAAAACAAGTAATGAACTACATTTTATGAAACTGAAAGTATTTCCCTTAATCATTCATTATGCATAAGGCTCTAAAGTCAATAGGCATTCAATGCATATATTACAAGAAGCAATAATCTGGATTTAAGTAAATTGATCCCTTGATCCATGGGATTTACATAATCTCCACACTCCCCCTCAAGTTGGAGCATATACATCATATGTAAGTCATCCAAGGAGCCCATAGAGATTCAATAAAGATATCAGCAAGTTGATCTTTAGAGTTGACAAAGGAAGTTCTTACGACTCCAGAGTGAATCTTTTCTCTAAGGAAATGGCAGTCAAGGTGTAACCCACAAGTATATATGTACGATTCTCCCACTCTCTATAGCGCTCTTTTTGAGAAAGAATCAAGGGATTCCACATACTATAAGATGGTATCAGAGCCGCATCTAGCACCTCTGGGGACTCGACATACTCGGCACACAATCTAGCCTACCCTGTGTTTGAGGGGGCATGTTGGAGTCCACATTGGCTAGCCATGAACCAAACCCACCTGTATATGTATAGAGAGAATTTCTCCTCTCTACAAGGGTTCTTTTAGAGAGAATCAAGGGGTTCCACATATTCAGCAATAAGATTCTACATTGTAGTAACCCAAAGATAAAATCAAAATGCTACAAAGCCTTGATGTTTTATAGTGGTCAACTATAAACCAGGAGAATGAACCAACTGAATTTGCAGCAGCACAACCAACAAAAAGGAATGGACAAATCAGTCTACTTACCTTTGAAGTTGCTTTCTGTCTAAGTTTTTCTAACTCAGGTTGAACATCTTTTAGAGCATTTGATGTTTTAACCATGGAATCTACTTCAACAAACTTCAGCTTCTTACTCAGGATTTCAAGAGTCCTCATGTATTCATCATTTACCTAAGAGAATATTTGAAAGCAATATGAATAGCAGGCAGGATGTATAAGAAGTATAGTAAATGATATAATATCCGCAGAAAATGCATAATTAACAAAATAATCTACATCGGAAGAGCTGGTGCAAATGAAACACATACAAGAACTATTTGGTATTATTAATTTCCTAAAAAAGAAATGAGTTTTTCACAAAACATTGATATATTGTCATTCTGATGTGTAACGCTAGAGCACCACAAAACACAATTAATATGTTTCCAACAAATATATGAACCCTATGTCACCGACAATCTCAAAACATCGAACTAGATTAAATTTCTCATTTATTTAATGAAAACTCAACAGCTGATTGGAAAGGTCAATTTCATTAGACAATTTGACAAGAAGAATGTTCGTTAACTAACAAACGCTTCTGGTCATCCTAATGACATTATCAGAACGCACTTCCAGCTCGATCAGAAGTGTAAAACCAATAAATCTTTAAAAGAACATTTTTCAGGCATCAATAGAAAAACATCTCAAACCAAACCATAAAACAATTCACATCTAACCAACTAAAATCTTTAGCCCACGATCAATACACAATAGCACCACTTGTCATCTATCTCTCAGCGCCACACACGCGAAAGCAGATACACGTACACAACATATTCACGCTCCCATTTCTCTAAGATGGAATCACCTAAGGTGGATGACAGAAGAATCTTGGTGTTGGGTTAGCAAGTCAGAGGATTCTACAACAACCTGCATGCATACACTGACATCTTTCTCTCCATGATGCTATGATCTAAACAGATTGCCAATGGCATCTTTTTGGCCAAAACATGTGTGGCTCAAAGTTTGTATATATACATATTATACAACCATGTGCCTGGGACTCTTGTGGTCAGTGTGGTGGTTGAAAAATGGTTGATGTAGCAACTCAGCATTGCATTATCCAATATTAGGAGTGAGGTATATAATCCTCATAATTACAGGTGTCCTTAGGCTAGCATCTTGCTATATAATCCTCATAATTACAAAGACGGTCTTTTATTCATAAATAGATAGACAGATACACATATAGATGCATACATAGAGGACGAAAGATTGTGGCATTGCTAAACAACGAAGTAATCATTATCCACCAAAACCTTGAGATTGAACTAAAGAGGAACATAACAGTAATCATGTAGAGGCGTTGGCCAAGTAAGGCAAGGCTTTACGAAGACGAGTGAGACTTGTACACATGATGTACAATAACTATTGCTTTTTGTGATTGTTGGCTTGCTAAAGCGCAGACATTTCCGTGCAATAAATCTTGTTTTTCAGTCCATAGCTGTATATTTCACTTCATGCATTGATGCTGGTTTCTCATTGCTACTTGTTCACTTCCACTTTTTCCACCGAGTGTATACACTGAGACATGGTTTTGAGCAGGTCAAGAGTCTTTCAAGTGAAAGAATCAGCCTAGTTGTTTATTGAAGTAATTATGGTTACAATTAGGGAAGTACAGGTAGTTGTGGTTCCAGCCTTCTTTTGGGCAATCCGTAGGTTTGTATGGTATATTGACTAAGGTCAGTCCTTTATATGCTCTCTTTATGTTTATTTCTTTGGTAGTTCTTCCTGTTTTTGGAGTTTTTTCCTTCTTGAACGAATGCACTGGTTAAGAAACAAAGAAGGGTGTCATAATTAGCAAAATAAAGATTTGGGGGGGGGGGGGATTCCGACTGGATCAGTCCAGTAGGTCCTTGCATCCAGACTCCTCATTGTAATGATGGTTCTCGGAGGTTACAAAGGTTTGTTTTTGTGACTCTTGTCTGGCTCAATAAGAACATAAGAAATTTGAGCAGGGAAGATTGTAGCATCCAGGTCATATTGATTGTCATTCTTAATCTTGAGCTTCTCCTAATAACTTCTTACCAAGGTTTTAAGAGTGAGCAGAACTTGGTACTAAACAGTACAACTAATATTGAGCTGGAACTGGTATACTTAGTCCGATACTAGGTTCTAATTATGGCAAAAAACTGGATCTCAGTCATGTTTGGTTTGGTACACGTCCTGTTTGGTATTGGACCGGTCTGGACAGGTCCAATGTAATTTTGTTTCTACTCTAATAAAACAAAATCGTTTAGGTAACAAACTGGGCTTGAATCACTAAACCACAAAATTCAAGTGTGGTTGACGATCCCGTTTGGGACTCAACCAGTTCTGAACCAGTACGAACCGGTAGAATATGGTGCAATTTTGCCGTTGCGGTGCGGTTTTGCCGTTGCTGTACGGTCTTGTCCCACTACACAGCCCTAGTTAAGGTTAAAATTTACATATTGAGGTATCATTAAGATGATTCAGCTCCACTGACATCTATACATTACCAGATTCTGCCACTAATTCATACATAAATGCTTTGCCAAAATTTCTTAAGCCAGATAATCTTTGCTCTACAGGTCAATCATAGATACAAGAAATAGATAAAAAGCATTGAAAACATCATTTCTGGAAAATCTTCATTCCCGGACAATATTGATGCCCTGGATTTCCAACATTTGCAAGACTTTCCAACATAATATACGTCCAAAGGACAGCTATAGTCCATGTTTTTACCCATCAAAAATGCCAAAATGCTAAGTATTCTTTATCCACCATAGGCAATTGCTAGGTTTTTCACATGTTCAACTAAGCAAGTAGCCTACATCTGTTTCTTTTTGTCCTATCCTACTGTTAGAACAAACAATAAAAAATCTTGAAATATTTAGTAAGAAAAAGGGAGACAGTAAAGATAAGATTAAAAAAACGCAGCAATGCTAATGAGTAGAAGCCCAAAACTAACTACCTCTCCATCAACAATTACGTCTATCATTCTCGGCGGTACAATTATGTCTTCAACAAACTTTGCTAATTTTGATTCTGCAACCTGTGAGAAATGCCACAAAGTGTAAATCAGCTGAGAGTATCTTCAAATTGATATAGATCGAAAGTTGCATTTGAGAGATATGCTCTAAAAGATAGGATACCTATTCTGCACTTATGACAAGTAGATAAGCAAAAGGGAAGAAAGGAAGTCAATACACACACATATACATATAGATAGATAGATAGATAATAGTGCAACAGTATCTAACTTAAGACCACCTCCACTTGCAACATTTCCATTGGCAAAAGAGCAAAGAATAATATACTGCTTCTGGGGTAGAGGCAATGAAGAGAACAAAATAATAACCAGCCAAAACTAAGGGAAGTGGATAACTAAGAAATAACAATGAAGATTTGAGGGGAATCCACAGACACAAAAGGACACAAGATCCAACCACTATTGAAACAAACATTTTGGAGTTACAGCAACAACCAATCACAATCCTCTTTGGAACAAGGACGCTGGCTGGAGGCCCACACTCGGTAATTATCAGCTCGAAGCCATCTTCGAGGCTCATGATGCCAAACAATCAAGTCTTATTGGCAGAGGAGTTGGAATTTGGTAACAATTTGATCCTATTAAGTGAGGTTTCAAAAAAGACAAGGCAACTTTGTAACTTAGCAAACATTATACCTTTGTAACATAAGTGTACAACATCATAAGGACAATACCTTGCGATTCTTCAGCTTCAGCCCCATATCCAAAGACTTCTCCTGAAGAATTTTTATGTCTGAACTAATAGAACCAATCTCAACCTACAACAATATATATAATAATGTAAATAGTTTAAAGAATGTAATACAGAACGTCAATGATAATTTCGATGAGCCTAGCTTAAGAAATTGGCACCCCTTGGGTCTATTGTTGTCTTGAGATATTAATGCAATGAAAAAAACAATACACTAATTTGATATGATCGACTACCTGAAATCCACCGAGTAGAGTTTCCATTTGTGAAAGAATGACATCACAATCACGAATTTGATCATGCAGTGACACTAGATTATCACTCTCTGTTATGTACTCCTGTTGATATGAATTTGAGGAGTTATGTTGATGAATATCGTTATGCATATATGGCACCATAAATGCACAACAAAACATACAGTTGGATTTCAATAGGAAAGGGGGGAAATCTCTAGTTGTCCTCCAAATAAATAGCAGAAAAAATCCATAAAAAAATGAAAGAGTCACATCATGTCAACAAACAAGATAAGTATCTAACATATTTTGATACAAACACCATTAAAAAGCCAAATGTTTACTTTTTGAGAAAAATATAATCAATTATTTCCAGGAGAAGAAAATCTTAGAAGAAATCTCAAAATGAAGTCAATGGGAAGAACCAGGTGCAGACCTATGTGGGAGCATATGGTGGCCCATGCCACCGCTTCATGGTTCTGTCATAATGAAAAATAAATTACCTTTCTCAAGGGTCCCACCGTAATATTTCATTGTGTGCCACTATATTTCTTAAAACTAAACTTATGACAGAAACTTGTGTGGCTGAGTTGGTCTAAGTTCCAGGATTAAAGTTTCTTGTTTGAAATGGTGTGGGTTTGAATCCTGCCTTTTGCAAATTTCCGATTTTTCAGCTTTTAATTTTGGTTTCTATAGCTTTTGTGGAAAAATTGGAGGAAAATGATGTGAATTCAAATATTTTAGCCCAGCATGTGCCAAGCCCAAGAGTACTCCAAGTTTATTCTAGAAGGACTAAAAGGGGAAAAAAGGAAAGTGGCTAAAATTGTCAATCGACAAGAGGTGCAGACCGCAAAAATTAAAGAATATAGATTGAACAAAATTAAATAAACAGATGTAACTCGGCCACCTACCTGAATAGAGTCCAATTCCACTTGCCGTAAATTGTTTTCAACTCCCTTAGTATACTCCCGCAGTTTCACACCTTTCGATAATATGTTTGCAACAACCTAGTGCAAACAAGTAACAACCACGTTAGGCAAGGATATGTCCACATAGTGTCTTCATAACAAGCAAATAGAATGAAATTGTAGATCATACAGACAGTAATGCATTGATATATAGGATAAAGGAAAAGACTGATGGGGATAGGGAATTATGTCTTATCGAATAAAATGATGTTGCTCATAATTTGTGTAACTGTAGAACAGCAACCAGTGCCCATGGAAATTTATGCATGCCTCCTGAATTTTCAGTAGTATCTTATTTATTATCAGCAAGCTTGCAACCTGAGGCTGCTTTTGTTGCTAATAGATTGTCTGATCATATTTCTAAGAAATGAGTCAGCATGAGCATGGTGAACAACAAACCCAAGTTCAATAGCTCAAAATAACTAAGATACTTTTAGGAACCATGAGGATTGTATGAGTTAGCACGATTGTGCGACGTTTTTCTAAGGAGCGATCTCAAGAGATTGGTTTTCTATTGTTGCCTAGTTCATTTTAGTTGCTTTTCTCAATTTTTTTTCATTTAATATTTGTCCCCCTCTTGAGTAAGACTCGTTTTGTTGTAGTATTGCATATTCATCTCCTTTTATATAGTATTGTTGCATGATTCTAAGCCAATAGAATTCCAGCATTAAGTACTAACCAGAAAAGGAGATATTACTATATTAGTCCAATGCATCAATCAGCAACTTCAAAAACACACTACCATTCACTGTTCTCTATTGTTCTATTTCATGTATCTAGATATACTCTCATTTCATATATGTCATGCTCATACACATTTCAGTTGCCATCATAGTCAGCACTACATAGATATACGATTATAGCGTCGGCAGTAGAAGTTCCCAGAAAATGACAAGTCCAAAACACCAATATAATAGAAATACATGGGCCGGTTATAACCTCCACTGCACAAATATACAGGTCTAGCCATGACGACTAAGATCGCAAGTGTACATGAAAAAATATACGTAAAACAATTATCGAACAAGCAACTTGAAGAAGCAACCAGATGATTATAGGTACCTCATCAGTTTTGCATTCTTCAAGCTCTTGTTGTAGTCCTTCCAACGATATATCATTGCTGAAATAAACCAACCATTGATTCAGAAAGAAGAGTGGGATCTGAAAGTATCATTTATCCGATTTTGTAGTACAAATATGCAAAGACAATATACAGAGAATTGCATTCGGTAATTAGAAGCGCCGTGAATTTATCAAATGTGCATATACTTGAAAATGCATCAAGATAATAGCCATAGTCAGATCTTATCACATAGGCAAGTGCACTTCACTATAACCATGTAAAGCTACATAAGTGCACAAGTTTAGTGCATTTGCCCATTTATCATGTATATTTTAAAATTGTGGTTGCAATGTTAACCAGCCAGCTCATGCTCGAGCTCGAAATTCATAGTATCTACTTGAATCAAACTACAGCAAGATATTTTCGCTCGGATTGAAATCTGAGCTCTGCTCAATCAACCCTTCCTCCCTCACCCCAAGGTCTGAGATGCTTGTTCGGAACTCAGTTTTACGGTTGCTCAAATAGGTTAGGATTTAATTTAGTATAAAAAATTACAAAAACAAAAATATATGATATATGCATCAGTATGCTCACATGCATGCATGGACATATACACACCCACACACAGCCATATTTGTTTGTCTATGTATATTGTTAGGACCAAAATAGTCATAAGTTTTAGAAAGTTTTATAAAGACAATTGCCATTGTATTGTATTGTATTATCTTTGTACTTGGGCTAAGAGCAATGGGCTTTACTTGTAAATGTCTCCTATAAATAGGTGACATGGGGCTTAGATTCTAAGTTGATCATTCTAAATTTCTAGTCATTTCAATGAGAGTCGTATAAGGTGATTTGAGAGTTTGTAATTTTCTACTTTCCAATAATAGAATTTGGCCGGTTCTTCATGATCTTCATCTACATTCTCTTAATTTCATCCTTGAATCTTGATTTGCTGTTTGATTTGGGACTCACATTTGGTATCAGAGCAGAATCGAATCAACTTTTTCTATATGATCATGCGATTCAGCAGCAAATTCGAGTTTTGATTCTGTTTTTGCATGGAACAGTACTCAGAACCTTCATCTTCTTCCTGTTCGACATTTTGAGATTAACAGATCATAATTCACCTTGTTCTTATTGTTTTTAATCATATTAATGCTAAAGGAATAGCATTTAGGTGAATTCGAATCTTATTGAATCATCAATTTTGGTGTTTTTTGATGATCCATAGTTGAATTGTGCTTAATCTGGTGAAAGTCTTTCCTCATCGCCTGTTGACGATATTCATTGAGCGATGAAGTGGTGCTCATCGCCCAATAAAGATGTGAAGTATTGAGCGATAAAGCTTTCATGGGACAGATTATGTTTATTGGTAACTTGGTTTTGAGCGATAACCTAAGGACTTGGATGAAATTTTTACTAGTTTTGAGCAATAAAGTGTGCTCATTGCTCAAAGCTTGTCTGGAGACCAAGCTCATCGTCCAAGTCATGAGCTTCATAGTTAGTATCCGCTCAATGTGGTGAGCGATAAGAGCCCTCATCGCCCAAAACACCAAGCGATGAAGTGTCTTGGTGGGCGATGACCTTCTCACACCCTTGTTATCATTTGTGTGATGAAGTGTTGTCCGGAGAGCCTTCTCATCGCTCAAGGCTTCAAGCGATGACTCCTATTTTGTGCGATGAAGTTGAAATATGATTTTTGGAAGTTGATGTATCCACTCAAGTCATGAACGATATTCTCGTTCATCACCCAAGGTATGAGCTATAATATTACTCATCGCTCAAGGAGTGAGCGATAGGATGGTTCTAGTGCCTCTCCGCCTAAGGCATGGGTGATGAGCAGTCTTACCTATGCTCATCGCTCATCAAATAAGTACTTGTTTTCATTTTGACTCTATGTGCTTAACCAGTGTGCTTAATGGATATCTTTGCCCTATTCTCCTTATGCTTAATGATTACGGTGATGTTTTATCAATTCTGCCCTTAAGAGCATCTTACAGCAATTTTGGTCAACATTGACTTTTAAAGTCAAAGTTTGACTTTTTGGTCAACCAATTTGAGTTTAAAGTTTTAAAGCCGGATTTGAAAAGATTTCAGAACAGTTTGATTGGTTTCAGTATTTGATTGGACTAGCTACAGTTTGAGTATCTGCAATCGTTACTTTGGAGTTTTTCCACAAGAGGCAAGACCATTGAGGGCCTTCACTCATTTCTTTTGACCTGATCAATCAAAGGTCTTGAAGGTTTGCAATCAATGTTTTGGAGGTTCTGGAAATTATTAGATTGTGTTCTCAGTCATTCCTCTAACCTGATCAATTAGAGGTTTGATAGTCTACAATCATTGTTCTAATGTTATGGTTCTGATCTAAGAGTTCTAAGTGCTCATAATCATTCTTCTGCCTAGGAATTTTGGATCTGATTCTGGTGAATCAGTTTTCTAAAAGGTTAATGAAATTGGCTTATCTATCTGGTTTGACTTGTTGTTCTTGAAACTACATGCTTATTGTTGATTCTTCTCTCCAATTCTATAAAGTCAAAGGTGTTTGCTTTGGTACTTCAAGCAAATGTTGACTACCCCATTGTGAGCTTACCAAGGTCAAGGGCTGAATGTCTATTCAACTCATGGTTCATTGAAAGATTCTTTGTCATAAGACTGTTTGCACTGGAATGTCACGAGTTTCGCACATTTATCTATCCATAGTTGGATGAATCTATAGCTAACGGATTGGCGATGATTTTGCGGTCAATGTTGTGTTGAGTCGTCTGCAGTTTTAACTGCTTTGTGCAAATGGTGGTGCAGAACTCGCGTTGAATTTTATCTTAGAGTTGAAACCTTGGTTTTAAAAAGCGCGATGCGGTCCGATGCGTTAAGGGTCCCGGAAGCCGATGCGTGATGCTGATGCGCTCGCATCACGCACGTGATGCGCCCGGTATTCAAAAAATATTATATAAATTAATTCTACATATCAATTTCTACCTTAAAAATACTTACCTATCAAAATACTTCATTTATAACATAAAGTAGTTAAAAAAGTGGCATTAGAATCTTAAAAAATTCGTTAATCAGAATAACAGAAGTACATAACACACAAACTACTACCATGAAGAACACAATTACACAAGTAAATGTCTAATAGTCCTAATCCCTAAACTAAATGACCAACCAAGTGACCAACTAATACTCCCCAAGATCAGCATCATCAAACCCTAACATGGGTTCATCTCCCTCATCATTATCAAATCCTGCAATATCTGCTTCCACCTCAACTTCATCATCTTCATCCTGAAGAGAATGTTCTTTTCCTCTAGCACTTCTAGCTCTTGATGGACCCGACCCATCATCGTTTACTCTCCGGCTCCCTCTTGATGCTCTAGTGAACTGAGGAGTCTCATACGCCCCAGAAGCTCTACCTACGTCATCCCACGTAAGATCATCATCAATAAATACCAAATCATCATTTTCATCATCATTGTCCATCCTCCCCATCAACCACTCATTACTTTCATCTATGCCTTCTCGGATGATAGGATCACTACTTCCCTCCTTATATCTACGTTGCAAGGCACGATTGAATTTCACATAGACCATGTCATTCAATCTTTCTTGTGCTAATCTATTCCGCTTCTTGGTGTGAAGCTGTCAAAAGTTTAATTGGATATTAGTTGATATATTTAAAATCAGATACCGAATTTATAATGTCATGTACGACACTTACATGTTGAAACACACCCCAATTTCTCTCGCAACTTGTAGCACTACAAGTAAGACTAAGAACTCGTATAGCAAACTTTTGCAAGTTGGGAGATGAAGATCCAAATGTTGTCCACCACTCCGCTATAAGGAACAAATATTTAAAAAGTAAAATATCCATAGTGTGTAAGTAACTAAGTATAAAAATATATTTTCAATTTAAGATGATTACCTGGTGCCATTGCCTTCCTTTGCCTAATAGCCGCATTTCTACCAAATAGTCCTTCTGCATTTTGATACTTGCTTAATTCTCTTAACATTAGGTCTTCTATTTAAGGATTTGGAGCCAATCTTTCAATGCAAGAATGTAAACCTTCCATGACTTCTTCACAACTTACAACCCTTTGTGCATTGTCATAAAAGGTAGACGGGTTTAGGTAATGGCCCGCGGCATGCAATGGTCGATGGAGTTGACATTCCCACCGATTATCAATTATTTCAAATGCTTTCTTGTAAAGGTCCTCTTGATTGGGAAAGCTTTTAGCAATAGCCTCCTTAGCCCTATCCATAGCTTCATAAATATAACCCATGGCCGGCTTTCTTTCCCCGTCAACTAACCTAAGAACACTAACAAGAGGGCCCGTCAACTTGAGAGCATACACAATATTTCTCCAAAACGTCTCTTGTAAGATGTAGGAGTGCAACATCTTTCCCTTTGGTTCACTTGACCATTTGCTATCCATCCATTCTTGAGAAATAACCATCTTTCTCAAGTTATTCTTCTGTTTGTGAAATTGAAGAAGAGTGATAAAAGATGTAGCAAGTCTTGTGATTGTGGGCCTATGCAAGTTCCTTTGATTCGTGAACTTCCGCATCAAGTTCACTAGACCAACAAAGTTGTATATGTATCCATTGGCGAACATTGCCTTCTTCAAACAACTTTTCACCTGAGGAATTTGTTTCCCGATATCCTCTAACATAAGATCTATGTAATGGGCAGCACATGGAGTCCAATAAAGATGCTTTCTCGTAGCTTCTAGCATCTTCCCTTTAAGTTTAAAGTTTAAAGTTTAAAATAAAAATATTAGGTGACAAAATACATAGTATTATTATTACATATATAATATTATTAATATATAAATTATAATTAGGAATAGACTAAAATAGTAACTCATACCCGCTTTAACGTACGCAGATGCATTATCGGTGATCACTTGGACTACATTTTCTTCTCCAACATCATCCACCATTTTATCAAGAATCCCAAACAACAAATTTGCATCTTTAGAGACATCGGAAACATCCATAGACTTCACAAATACAGAACCCCTTGGAGAGTTCACCATGAAGTTAATTATGTCTTTTTGGACAACCGAATCACGCCATCCATCCGATAAAATAGAGCAACCTTTTTGGGCCCATTCCTTTTTATGTTCCTTTACTTCTTCTTCAACGGTGTTTACTTCTTGGTTGAGTAAAGGGACTCTTAGCTCATACATGCTTGGTGGTTTCATTCCGGGCCCAAATTGGCCAATAGCTTCAATCATTACACTAAAGCTATCATAAGTAGTGGCATTAAAAGGAATGCCGGCATCATAAAACCACCTTGCTATTTGCGTACAAGCTTTATCCCTTAACTCCTTTCGAACCACCGCATTTATGGTTTGTTGTATCCCTCCTTTTCCATCTTTTTTACCTTTGATCACGTCTTCAGGATTAGGAGTGAAGAACCTATCTAGGGGACCTTTTTGTCTCGGTCTTTTCCGTGTGGGAACCTTACTACTACCACCTTCTATTTCAATACAGTCATCGTCCTCTTCACCAGATCATAATCATCCGAATGCAAGTAACTTGAGTTCATTATATTCTCCACCTCCGCTACTTCTTTTTTCTGCATATAAGACTTTATTTCTTCTTTTACATGTTCTGGACAATTTGGACAACTAGTAACAGCCGATAGACCTCCAATAAAATGCCATTTTAAACGATATACACCACCCTTGACTACTTTACCACAAAAGTGGCAAGTGAAATTATTCCTACATTTAGGATCTTGAGTTCCATATTTTCTACCGGGTCACCTGATGAAGTGTTTGAATTTGAACTCGCAATACGTTCTGATTCCGACATTCTGTAAGCTGGTCGACTACTGCTGCTGCTGCTGGTATGACTATCGACTACTGCTGCTGCTGCTGGTATGACTATCGAGTATCGCTGCTGCTGCTGGTATGACTATCGAGTATCGAATACTGTTGTTGCTGCTGGTATGACTATCGAGAACTGCTGGTATTGACTATCGAGTATCGACTACTGCAGTACTGCTGTCGGCTTCTAAGTTCTATCGATTAGGTCGCTTCGCTACTCGCTAATCGCTAACAGTCAGTCCACGTTCTATCGCTAACAGTCACCCAGGTTCTATTTTACATAACTAAGAAGCCCATCTAAAAAAAGCCCAACTAAAAAGCCCAACTAAACACTGAAAAAGGGAGCCCAAAACGCAACATACATGATGCGCTGATGCCTAAGTGATGCACGCATCGTGTGATGCATAGGTGATGCGTTCGCATCATGGAATCGCATCGCATCAGCCTCTTTGATGCGTTCTGTCCAGCGCATCAGAGCGCATAATGCGCGCATTTTTAAACCAAGGTTGAAACTTAAGGAATAAGAGCTATCTTCAGTGGGGAGCTTGAAGATCTTATCAATGTCAGGCACACCAAAGTTTTCTTAAAGAAAGCAGGGGGAGAAGACTTGAAGTTTCAAGAGATGCTTGCTTTATAAAACTTTTGGGGGAGATTGTTAGGACCAAAATAGTCCTAAGTTTTAGAAAGTTTTATAAAGACAATTACCATTGTATTGTATTGTATTATCTTTGTATTTGGGCTAAGGGTAATGGGCTTTACTTGTAAATGTCTCCTATAAATAGGTGACATGGGGCTTAGATTCTAAGTTGATCATTCTAATCATTTCAATGAGAGTCGTTTAAGGTGATTTCAGAGTTTGTAATTTTCTCTTTCCAATAATAGAATCTGGCCGGTTCTTCATGATCTTCATCTACATTCTCTTAATTTCATCCTTGAATCTTGATATATGTACAGGCCATATGTGTGTGTGTGTGCGTGCGTGTATGTAAGTGTATATATATAGCATGAATCATCTATTCATCTACACATTTAGCATGACAAGAAGTTTAAGGCGACAAAGAAGGAATATGAGAGAAAGATGGAGGTGGCTGAAATGAGGATGCTCAAATAGACCTGTGGTCAGGCCATGCTAGATGTGATATCAAACGAGGTCTTTGAGCAGAATTGGCAGTAGTGTCTATCACGAATAAAGTGATTGAGGGAAGACTGCAGTGGTTAGGGCACGTTCACCAATGAGGATGATGGAGAGCGTCATGGTCAAGGGTGTAGGAAGGAGGGGCAGGCCGAGAAAGACATGAGACGAGCAACTTAATTGGACATGGCAGCTTTAGACATTTTGCAAAACATGATCTCAAATAGGAGTTCATGAAGATGCAGGATTACGCGCCAGATTGTGTGCAAGGAATTGTGGTTAATGGGGCAAGGGGAGGGGTGGAGAGATAGATGTGGGTTAGGGGAGGGTTAGAGTCTCGCAAGGTAAGTATCCGAGTGCTAGGATGGTCAACTAGGTACCAGAGTCGTAGGTTGAGGGAGGGACTACTTCGTAATCAGTTAGTTTAGTAGTTTTGTACCTTCACATATGCCTTCATTGTCCTTTATGCTCTTTATTACTCTTTCTTGTTACTTCTTCTTCGACTTTCCTAACCCTTTTTGATCCATTTTTATCCCTTTCCTCTCTTTCATTTGTTGGTGATTTAGTGTCATCAGCCATTTGATGTAATTGAGATTTAGAAGAGACTGGGCGGGTTTTGGTTAAGCTATAATATGGGTTAGAAGGCGTGGCGTGCATACGCGTATAAGCTAACTTAAAGTGAGAACCAACAAATGCAGGGTTCAAGGGGGTAGCGGCCCTTGCGGAGTCAAGGGACATCAGAAGCTGACATTATCAGTGTCTATTTCAGTCACTTAAGCTTATTAGCGATCTACTGCTCTCACTGAAGCTGATCAGTGGATGCACTCACTGAAGCTGATCAGTGGATGCACTCACTGAAGCTGATCAGTGGATGCACTCACTGAAGCTGATTAGTGCATGTTCTCACCAATGCGATCCGTGGATACACTTACTGGAGTTGATCAATGAGTGCTCTTACTGATGCTAATCAGTGAGTCCTGCCGTAACTGCCTTGTAACAGCTGGTAACTGCCGGTTAACATATGCCTGTAAAAGAGGTTTTCGGTCTCGACTCTAAGATATGAACATAACATAGCCTATGTATCTTTACTCTTGTTTTCTAGCCTAAAAACTATAGTGCGATTTTGGACCATCTCGTAGTAGATTTAGTGTAACCCCAGGCAATTATAGAGTCAAAACACTAATTTTGGGAAGTGTTTTTCACACGATCCAAAGGTTTTATCCAATTTTTTATTCATTGATATATGCCAGCACTCAAAGCCAGATTTCTAACACTTCTTCTCAAACTTTCGGAACCAAATTTTTCTCGCAAAATCCAATTCTCTACACCTTAACACAAGTCATGGATCTTCATGATAATAGTCTCGCTACTCCTCGGGATAGAAGTAAGGTCTATTACACCCTACCTTCCCCATACCGTACTCTATGCGGGATTCACTGGGTTTGTTTGGTTTGGTTTGGTTTGGTTTATAGGTGTGTATGTAGATACACATATGTATGCATGTATATGTATATTGTTTGTATATGTATGTATGTATTTATGTGTGCCTATATATGTATATACAAATTCAATTAGAAAAGCCAAGAGGAATTAAATATTCGTTCTATCTGTTTTCAGATCACTTATGAGCTCATTATTGAACAGGCTTGTGAACTACAAATTCTAACATCACTTTCAAAGCTCAGTTTTATCTGATTTATGCTCAAGCTTGTAGCTAAGAATCCAAATATCAGCTCAACCACGCTTGGGTCAGGCATTCATAACTTAATTATAAACTCCTTCCCAGTAAATAACAATTGGCCATACTCAAGAAATAACTATATGCTAGATATGTACAGCCATACAGCTCTGTATTTGACTATTGGTGAATACGTGTTTTGCATACCGGAATCCGTTCCGAATGTAATTGCAAAAAGAACAATGTGTGAAGTCAATAAACATAAAACTAAAAACTAGAATCAGACAGCACAACTATATCATCTTAACTTTGGGCCAAGGGTAAAGAAGTGCACCTGCTCGCATCCTCTTCAACAGTTAAATCACCAACAACAGCTCCCAAATTAAACACAGATTTACCAGCATCTGTGGTTTCACCTTCAGCTTTACGCTGTGAACCGCAACAAATCCACACACGTCACATGTAGAGAGCAAGTGAGAATAGGTGAACCAAAAAGGTTGAGCCAAAAAACAACTCCCAATTTTTTATACATGAATGAGGTGAGTAACACTCTACCTGTTCGTTTGATGCTACCTCCGCCATTTTATTTGGTCAATACAGCAATTACCAGCCAGCTTGTGTATGTAACTAAACAAAGCAAAGCTAAGTTGATTAACCTACATGATTATAAGCCACCAAATGTAAACACAAAAGACAAGGTATGGTGAAGTTATCATTGCAAAGAAGAAATGCAAGGGTGAATTCAGAAGCTAACAGCTTATGACTAGTTTACAAACCTTGCTATGTGAATAAACTAGAAGTTTGCCCCCTCAACTTGGTATTTTTTACAAAGCAGCATTTGAATTAACATTACTATTTTGTAACAGCATCAATAAGTTTCCACTTCTAAATCACCAGAATCCCATTATGCTCTTGTTCTATCTAGATTCTGACTAGTTTACAAACTTCAACATTATGCTCTTGTTCTGTCAACTTGTTTCTTAGGAAGCAAAATCATGAACATCTCAATCAATCTAAGCAAGAGCTTATTCAATCTGATCTAACACACAAATGATGCAGTTTTAAGCAACGCCATCATGCACTCTGTGATCGTTAAGAAAAAATACAACACAATTTGCAGCGTCAATTGTCCTAAAATTTAGCTAGCAATCAATTGTGAGAGCACAGAACACACGATCAGGAGATACATCTAGAAATGTTAGTTAAATCAATTTGTCATCTAGGTACTCGCTTCCACCAAGCAATCAAAGGTAAATTGAAAAGAAGAAGAAGAAAAAGATGCCATAAATTGACGAACCTAGAAGAGATGAAGAAATGAACCAGATGAAGCAGTTGAGCAGCAATGAAAAACAGATCCATGAAAGAGCCAAGGAGGTGCTGTAAAACAAGGACGGAGACGTTTCGTAAGTTTGTTTAAACAATGTTTTATAGCACCTCCTTCACAGATTGTTCTTAATCGCTGCTCAACTGCTTCATATGGTTCATTTCTTCATCTCTTCTTGGTTCTTCGATTTATGGCGTCTTTTTTTCTTCTTATTTTTTTATTAACCTGGATATCCAATCCGCTATGCGAACCGACTAATCCCAGGGCGACCACCTGCTTTACAGATAGCCTGGAGTCACCGCATTTGAACCTCCGTGGCCACAAGGGGACTTTTATTCCTCCTTGGATTTGAACCTGGGACCTCCAGGTACTTTTGACCTTTGGAGCCAAGCTCAAACCAATCAGGCACCACCCTTGTGGTTAACTTCTTTTCAATTTACCTTTGATTGCTTGGTGGAAGAGAAAACCTAGATGACAAGTTGGTTTAATTAACATTTCTAGATGAATCTCCTGATCGTGTGTTCATCGCTGTAACAATTGATTGCTAGCTAAATCCTAGGACAATTGGCGCTGCGAATTGTGTTATTTTTCTTAACGATCACAGAGTGTATGGTGGCATTGCATAAAACTGCATCATTTGGTGGGTAAGTTCATTTCTCTGTGATCAAGATGTATTCGTTTTTTAAGCAATGGGTAGGTCTTATTTGGGCTACATATAACAGGGGTTTCCCAAGAAATTTGGTGATGTTCAACTGCCAAAGCATGATGAAATGGTTGTGCTTGTGGATGAAGATCAGCAAGAATTCAACACAAAGTATCAATGATCTACACATCAGTCCATGACAAGCTAACAATATTTATTTTGTAATGATGTTGACTGGCAAATAGATAACTTTAGCTTCAAATTTTGCAGAAAGAAAAATGATCTACAGTTTTCATGAGATGGGAGGAGCATCACTTGGGTTCGCCTTTAACATTAGCATCAAAATTCATAAACTATTGTTGACTAAGCTACGGTAATTTTCATAGAATGAAGGAATAGCAACCATAGTTCACAGATTGTCAGAGGAGGTAACATACCGTTTTTGGTAGTGTCTTTTATTAGTGTTGTGTAGCCATTGAACTTGGACAAAACTGGATTGAGCGGTGGCTGGAGAGGGTTCTCGATCGCTCACAAATTGCTAACACAGATTAATAAATCAAAGAAAATTGATTTAAAATGAAAATTGACAAACACATTCGGTACTTTGATCAAAACCCTTTAAAATGAAAACCCTTGAACCCACAAAGAAAATTGATTTAAAAGACAACCAGAAATCAATTCAGAAACGAATACCTTCAACCCACAAACCCCTTATGTTGATTTAAAAGCAAACTGGAAATCAATTCAGAGATCGCAAGAACTTATCATACCTTATCGAGCGTGAGATTTGCGTGACTGCGTGAAGTGGAGGGCGTGGTGGCGTGAAGATGGCCGAGAGCATGGATTTGGTGCTGGCTCGGTCAGATCTCGGTTACATCCGTGATTTGGTAAATAGGCAGCTAGTACATGATGAACACGTTAACAGTAAAATAATTTATATTTTTACTTTAAAATCTAGAATATTTAAATTACAATAATGGGTGTTTGGGATTGCTTATAAAAACAACTTATTGACTTATTTTGGTATTTCATCGGTAATAAGCATTTTTGAGTGTTTGGATAAACACCTTATATCGGTACCAAACCGGTAATAAGAAGTTTTTGAAAAAGTTAAAGCATTCTAACTTATAATAAACTGATAAGGACTTTTATAGAAAAACATAAGTTGTTTCAAATAAGCAATCCCAAACACCCCCCTAAACAACTACTTTAAAAACTGTTGTAGGATAAGTATGTCATTGTTTACAGAATATGATAATAAAGAGAAGGAGTTAAATTAGAAGTGAAATATCTTGTAGTTATTTACTTGAAACTCATCCCTATAAAAATGGCTTATGATTATGAGAATTACATATTCTTTCTCTCTATTTTATTGTTGTTTTTTTCAGTTATTATATAACATGTTATCAGCACGTAAACTTATATGTTATCGTTTCGATTGTAGTTGGCCACCAGCCTTTTAGCTAAACACGTAATTTTAAGGGGCCGTTTACCTAAACACGTAAACTTATATGTTATCAGCACGTAAACTTATATTTTTTTTCAGTTATTATATAACATGTTATCAGCACGTAATTTTTTTTTCTTAGGGGCCGTTTACCTAAACACGTACCCGATAAGCACTTATCGATAAAATTCAACGCTATCGCTTACTTACCGGGTAAGATTTTATTCACTAAAACGTATCGTATGCAACAATTTATCCCGGTAAGTTCTAACCATGTTAAGAGTCATCATCCTCACTTACCGGGTAAGACTCTCGATTATTGCTTTCGCTCTTACCGGGTAAGTTTCTTAGTGATTGTCATATTCATCCGATAAAGTAAAGTGACTTGGTAAGTGCTTACTCGGGTAAGCGTTTGGTAAACGGCACCTTAGTAACGATAGAGATATGTATATTTTTAATGAAGATTTCTTGTTCTTCAAAATTACATCTATTATTATGTTTACACTAATGTATTTGATACGTAGATTTAAAATTATGGATGGATAATCATATTTGAATGAGATTATCTGAGTATCTGATTATTTTATTAAATTAATCATTGATTAGTTTTTTAATTGATTTACTCATATCTTATTCAGATGTTTATTATATTATAATTTCTAATTTGTTAATTAATTTTGGAAATTACATTTCCAACCCTCGTACATTTTGGTCTCTTGTCAAAAGCTCCAAAAATACTATTAAGATGTTAAAAGGTTGAATTCAACTTTATGTCGAAACTAGTATTTATTTGTCGGATGGTAAAATCTCTTAATATATTATTAATGTATTAAAACATTAAAGTTAGTTTCATATGCCAAACTCTTATTCTTTTCGACCTCATGCTAAAAACTCTATAATTAGTAATGTTATCTTCAAAATTAAATAAATCACAAAATATCGAAAGGATTTTGTCAAATGGGTGTAAATAGCCATAAGATTTGTAGGGACTTAAGAAATCCTTGTGATTCTCCTACTGCTTGGAAATCCAAGAGATTGAGTAATTTCTTTAGCAAATTGAAATATTGATGAAGTATTGTCAATAAAACTTAAACATACAAAAATACGATATTGTTATGATAATGAAATTTCACGTGCATCATAATTTTTCTTCATACGAACAAAAAACGTTCATATATTGTCCCTTATTTATGTAAATGGTTGAAACAAATCATCTGAGATTCGATGTCCTAAACTCAAAAGAACTTGAGTACCATAGATGAATATCCAATGAAAATACTACTTTTGTCGGGAAGGCACAATGATATACCTAAAACCCATCAAAATCTATTGACCCTAAAAATCAATTGTTAAGGTATAAGTAAATACCTTGAAATTTTTGAAACTACACATCAGTCACAACCTTCATATGTAATATCATTAACTAGAATCTCCCAAGATTGTGGAGCGTCCTGAAAGGGATAATCAAGAACATTCATAAACATGTATTTTCCAAACTAATTATGCGGTGGAATGAAACCCACTTACTCGACTACAAGAAAGTAACGGATTTTCAATAAAGAAATGTTGTCTCAAAAAGCATCTCAATCTCTGTGACAAGTAACTCACAAGATGGCATGATGTATAACGTTATTTTCACCTTTCATAAATCAGTAAATGTTAATGAACTAATATAAATTGGAATATAACCTTTAGACAAGCTCATCAATCTACTGCAAATGGTTGAGAGATATAACAAGGTTCATTCGAATAACAACGCTAAACATGTTAGGACTAAAAAAACTCTCAAGGTCAATAATGAAGTGTTAAAGGTGAAAACAACTCCAAAGGATAGTGAGTTACAGACAATTTTTTAAACGTGACATCTATATACCATGTGGACGAGACCATGGAATGGGTCAGGGTCATGGCAATAGTTTAAAAAGGTTTTTCAATCATTGGAGCAGAGATGCAACTACTGTCCAGTTAATATTAGATAATCAATGAAAAAAAATACATTAATTATCGCTCCTTTAGAAAGGGAACAAGTTGAAAACAACATTGATATTGATATGAGACCATTGGATTTTAGTTATTTAAACCATCCCTTATATTTTTTTCCCAACTTTTTATTAGATCTTGTTAAATTAGACCATTTTCTTAAAGTCGATTGAGTATGATTACTTAAAATTATGTCAAGTATCAAATAGTTTTAATTGCATATATAAACATGTATAACCATTATAGGTGTAAAGAAGTACATCAAAATAAATACAAAAGTCAATATTCTCCGTTCCGCATAGAAATGTATCAAGGAGAACTTGAGTTTTTTTGTGGGACCTCCCACACAATTCTAAGAAATGAACTATCATTCATTGAATAAAATATCTATAAATCTTCCAACCAAATATTTAGACGATGAATTGTCTCTTTCTTGTTAGTACAAGATTAATAGTCAGTACAACACTATATTAATAGGAACCTTGTTAAGATATTCGTATCAATTATAAATTAATATTATGAAAATGGAAATGGAAATGGGTATATGTACATTAACTCTAATGATATGGAAGGAACATATATTAGAGAAATAAATGTGTTAAACTAGTGGATTATTTAGGTCATTGAATCATATTTTGTTGTCAATAAAGAACTTTTGGACAATGACACATATATGTTTCATTATGACCATGTGGGACTAGGGATGGCAAAAAAACCCGAAACCGACGGTGAAAACAAAAACCGAACATTTCGGGTCGGGTTCGGGGACCTCTTAACGGGTATGGGACGGGGATCGGGGATTATATCGGGGATTATATCGGGGACGGGGACGGGGACGGGGACGGTACTCACCGACCCGGACCGGCCCGATAGTATATATAATATATATATAATTTATAAATTATATTTGATAAATGATAGTCCAAAGTTAAAAGTCCAAACCAAAATTAGGCCCAACTTATTAATGGACCACCCAACAACCCTTGAGACTTCTCCTAACTCCTTCTAAGTTGTAATCCCCTTAGTCCAGTAGTCCTTACGCCAGCCTAACCTGACTCCTCTCCTCACTCCAGCAGCCAGCCTCCTCAAGACCGCAGTCCGCCTCCGCCCTCCTCCCGAGTCCCGATTGAGCCGAATCCCGCTGTCCCGCACGACACCAGTCACCGCCTCACCGCCGCACCGTCGCACAGCCGAGTCACGACAGCGGACAACCGCCCTCCTCCCGCCGGCGCTGTATCGCCGGCGCTCTCTTGCTCTCTCCTGCTGCGATTGAAGGTATTTCGTATTTCTAAGGAAAGTGAAAGCTTGGGTTGACGAGTTTGGCCGTTTGGGAGTTCTCGGTTTGAAGTTGGTAAATAGTAATCTAGTTGGATTATGTCTAAACTCTAGTTTACTTTGGGATTGTAATTTAAGACGTTTTTTGGTTGATCATGTACTCAATATGTGTGTTTTTCTGCTCGGTTTGGAGATGTTTTTAATTTTTATTCCAATTTTTGGTTTGATAATATGTGTTTTTCCAGATTCGGGTTCGGGTTCTGGTTCGGGTTCGGGTAAAACCAATGGGTAACGGTTATTTTTGCTCTTAACGGGTTACCAACGGGGATCGGGGAAACCGCGGGGACCCGATGGGAATCCCCGATAAGATCCCCGACGGGGATCGGGAYGGTTACGGGGATGGTTATGGTTATCGGTTTCGGGGACGGGGACTCTAAAAACCGGCCCGAACCCGGCCCGTTGCCATTGAGATGTGGGACACCATGGTGATGACATAATGATCTATGTGTTGCAAAATACACATCGACACATTTTCTTTCGTGTGAAATGTAAAATGAGATAATTAACAAAATTTCAACTGTTGACTTCTACAACACAAGAAGCAATATAACATCATAATATGCTCTCTCGAATACATACAACTTTTGTAAATCATGATCTTTAGCCAAGACAATAACGAGACCATCCTAAAAGCTAAGGATATAATACAAAAATATTTCATTCTTACAATGAATATAAGGTGAAATTTATGGACATAATCATCAAGAATGCGAGCCATTAAATTATTTTATGGTTCTGGTTTCGACACGATAAACGCATATCATATTATTATCCACATGAAATGTTGCACTCCTAGCACTAGCGATACGTTTAAGGGCTAACCACCCTTATTATCTCACAAAATCTACATGACTTGGAATTCTGGAGAATTTACATCATAATGATTTGATGATTATTGCTTATGTATTGGGATCAATATAGAGTTTCATATACCCATATGCATATATAAAATGGTTTCATAGAAGTTATCATCAAAAGAATATAGATGGTATCTAAGGCATTGGTTATGCGCATCAATTTACCTACGTCTACATGGGGTTATGAAAATATTGCATGCAGCCTTATTTATACGTGTTCAGCCTCATTAATAACCAACCAATCTCATGCGTATCAGTTGGTAACTAGATATAGTCCTGATACTTTACATTTACGTATGCCTGCTTGTGTAGTATATGTGTCAATTGCACCCCTACAGCGCACCAAAATGGGTCCTTAAAGACGATTATATATTAGTTGGGCATGAGTAAAACGACAATTATCCTCTAATTAGAACCCTTGATGGGTGGTGTCTTTACCGCTAGATTTGTCGATTGTCACTTTGATGAGACAGTCTTTTCGTCGTTAGGGGGAGATAGGAAAAAAAAATTTCCCATGGGAACGGCAGGAAGTGTCATAAAATACTCTCATTATGTCTCATTTTGATCATCAAACTTCACAATGTAAAGTTGAAGTCAAACAAATCAGACTCGATACCTGATACATTTAATGTTATTCAAAGAGTGACAAGATCACATATACCAACTGCAAATATACCCTCACGGTTAAAAGTCTCCAAATAAGGGCACAACACAGCTAGAAAGTGCGTTACAATCACCCATGGTGGAGGTGTAATTGAGGTCGTGGCTCCCAAAAGGAAATGGGGAAGCTACTTGATTCAATAGGTACTTATCTATATGAAGACAAGGGTAAAACACAACCATTTATCATTAATGCATAAACCTCTCATAAGATTGTCTGTCAGTAGAACTATGTTTATGAATCATTACCGGAGGATGCTTCGAAGTCAATGTTGATTCCAAAGATCAAAAATTCTCAAATGAATTATGAGAGTGCATATGAGTCGATGGACAAATCATACATACTCATTGATGATATATCGTATATACTGTTGCTCATAAGATGATGAACACAATGAAATCGACACATGCTCAGTTGAAAAATGTCAACAAAGAACAAATATGGCCTAAATGAAAAGAAACAATCCAGGAAAAATTATACTACTTGACAAATGAACAGGTATTTGGTCAGGTAGTGTTAATCCACAAAGTATAAAGCTTGTATGACATAGATAAATCATTTGTCAAAAAGCATAATAAGAATAATTAAGTGATAATGTATAAGGCTTCACTTTGGCACAAGGTTTCTCACAGAGCCCTAGATTGACCACGAGAAGACTTACTCTCTTGTGATGGACGTTTTAATGTTCTGCTAATTAATTAATTTAGTAGTTTCCAAAGGATTGGAAATGCAGCTCACGGATGTGGTTATTACATATATCTATGGGGATTTATATTCAGAGATATATAAAAGTGCTTAATGGCATTACATTATCAAATCAAGTAACTCTAAACCACGGAGTGAGTTTGCAGTAAAATTGAAATGTTCACTTTATAGATCAAAGCAATCTAGGCGGACGTGGTATAACCGCCTAAGTGAATACTTGATTGGGAAGAGATATAAGAATGATGAACTGTGCCTTTGAGTATTTATAAAGAAAACGAGTTCTAGACTTTCAATCATAGCTCTATATGTCGATGTATGAACATAATAGGCACTCTTGATGAAATAAGAGAAACCACAAGCTATTTGAAATCTAAATATGAGATGAAAGATCTTGGAAAAACTTGGTTTTGCCTAGCTATTTAAGTTAGGACAACGAGTTTGTGGAATATTATTCCATCGATCTACATATGTCCAGAAAATAATCAGGTGATTTTATATGGACAAAATGCATTCGGCTAGCACTCCCTTGATCGGTCAAAGTGTTGGATATAAGGAAAGATCCATTTCGTCTAAAGGATTATGACATAGAGGTGTTGAGTGCTGCAATTCCCTATCTAAGTACAATATGCACATTATTATAATTAGCAGAATACAATTGAATGTATATTGTATCTCTCAATGAATTTGTTAGCTAGATTTAGCTTAGCACCAACGCATCGTCATTGGAATTATATCAAATTAATCTTTTGGAACCATTGACGTGAGCTTATACTTTCTTATAGAGAGAAAATTGGAACTGATAATGACACTTAATTACCTACTTAGATAGTGAACGGCAAAAGTACCAACCCTAATATAAAAAATCCAATAATGTCTTGGTATGTCTTTGCTAATACTAACTATCTACCTGACTCATACAAAGGTCATTTCCAAACTGGATAAGGAATTACCATAGAGAAATATGCATATTTCTTGGAAGTAAACCAAACAAACCCTTGTAGTTGCCTCTTCGTACTATTCCAAGAATATTACTCTACACGAGACTATTCAATAATGTACATGGTTAAGGACTATCATTACACATATTAGAGGAACTAGGGTTTTGAGTTCATCCAATACCCTACCTGCATATATGGAAATAATACATCGTATATCAAAGAAATGAAAATAAGAAACATCAAAGGAGATAACACAAAGCATATTCTAGTTTAAGTTTATATACAATCAACAATAACAAACTATCCTCTAGATTCAAGTGAATCAAGTATGATGACAGAAAAATATGACATATTTGCTTACCAAATCATTACCTAAAACCATATTTGGGAAACATGTAGAAAATATGGCTATGCATTGACTTTCTAAACTCTCTTGATTATGCACGAACCAGGGGGTAGTAGAAAAAATGGGAGTCTACTATATATGTAATATTGGTATGGTGTGTTCTTTCCTTCACCCAAGGTTTTATTTTTCCCGTTGGTTTTGTTCTTTGGTGTAAGGTTTTAATGAGGCAACAGACTATATATCATCTTTCTTTTTCTAACTCTCATCATTGATTTACAAATCTGAAAGAATATTAGACTAAAAGGAAAAGTCTATATATTGCAAAGAAACTAATCCATTGTATTCTTTCTTTCGTCATATTTTTTCGTACCAGGTTTTTATTTTGGCGTAAAGTTCGACTCCGTTATCGGGCACTACCCTCAACCGTGCATGAGCCATAAAATACGCACTCACATTAGTGTTTTTGGAGATGAGTTCCGTATGAAAAATACCGAGTTTATCAATAATCAAAAAACCGTGACAAAATCGTAATTTTTGACAAACTACAGAACCAAAAATCTAGTTTATCTTGATTATAATTTAAGGGTCCGTTTGGTTTGTAGGATTGTTCATGAAGAGATTTGGATTTCATGGAGGGATTTGGATTTAGATGGATTAGGATTGGAATGTATTTGAAATCATTGATGTGTTTGGTTTATAGGATTTGAAGTGAAATTGGATTCTATTATTTTATAAAAAAAAATATAAAGAATTATAAAAACAATTTTTTTATATTCTTATTAATTGATTATTAACAAACAAATGTTTTTAACATTTTCTAAAACCTTATTTCATATAATTCTACGAAATCTCGTGAAATCTCAAGCATTTTTTAAGGGTCTGTTTGATTTATAAGATTGTTTTTGAATCACTTGGATTTCATGGAGGGATTTGAATTGGAATGATTTAAAATCATTGGTGTGTTTGGTTTGTAGGATTAGAAATATAATTGGATTTCATTATTTATAAATAATTTTATAGAAAAAATTAAAATATTTATAAAAACAATTGAATTACATTTTTATTAATCAATTATTATAAAACAAATGTTTTTAAGATTTTTAAAAACCTTACTACATATAATCCTACGAAATTCCGAGCGCTTCCTAAGAATTTCAAAATCCTACATTAAATCTAAAGATTTTAAATTCGGACAATCCAGCAAACTGAACATGAGATTAAAATAAATTTGAAATGCAAATCCCCAAATCCATTTCATTCAATTCCTTCAAACTAAACGGAACCTAAGGATTTTAAAATGATATATTTATGAAGTTTCAATTAAAGGGGGTGTTTGGGATTGCTTATCTACAAGAGTGTTTATCAACTTGTTATAAGTTAGAATAGTTTAACTTTTTTTAAAAACTTTTTATTACCGGTTAGACACCGGTATAAGTTGTTTATCCAAACACTCAAGAGTGCTTATTATCGATACCATATCAGAATAAGTCAATAAATTATTTTTATAAGCAATCCCAAACACCCCTAAAACTAAAGATTTTAAATCTAAACAATTCAACAAATCAATCTTGAAATTGAAATGATTCCCTTAATCCATTTCATATCGCTGGAAACCAAATCTTAAATTAAATTATTTGACAAAGAAGTTTAAATTGAAGTGGGTACAAAAAGCATGATTTTAGACCTCATATGTAACGCCTCCGCGAGGTCCCATTAAATACCTCAACCTCAACCACAACCACACAAATACCACCGCCGAGACGACCAAAAATGGCGATCGCCGGCTCACACATTCTCGTCTTCCCTTACCCTGCTCAGGGCCACATGCTATCACTTCTTGATCTCACCCACCAACTAGCCATCCGTGGTCTATTCATCACCATACTCGTCACTCCCAACAACCTTCCCACCATATCCAATCTCCTCTCCGCCCATCCAACCACCATCACCGCTCTCCTCCTCCCTCTACCACCTCACCCCTCCATCCCTCACGGCGTCGAGAATGTCAAAGATCTCCCTGCCGATGGCTTTCAGGCCATGATGAAGGCCTTAGGCGATTTACACGACCCCCTCCTAGATTGGTTCAACAACCACCCTACTCCGCCGGTCGCTATCATCTCCGATATGTTTTTGGGCTGGACCCATCACCTTGCCTGCCACCTCGGCATCCGCCGGTACATGTTCTCGCCGTCGGGTGCTTTCGCTCTTTCCGTCATATATTCCTTGTGGCGCTACCTACCCAAAAGGAATGATCCAGAAAACGAAAATGAGGAGATATCGTTCCCTAAAATCCCGAATTCCCCAAAATACCCTTGGTGGCAATTGTCTCCTCTTTATCGAACCTACAAAGAAGGAGACCCAACTACGGAGTTTATCAAAGATGGGTTATTCGCCAATATGGTGAGTTGGGGTGTTGTTATCAACTCGTTCACTGAGTTGGAACGAGTTTACATCGACCACCTAAAACAGGAAATCGGCCATGATCGTGTGTTTGCCGTCGGACCTTTACTCCCTCCCGGTGATAAAACCATCGAAAGAGGTGGGCCCAGTTCCAATGAGGTCCTACCATGGCTCGACACGTGTCCACCTCAGTCGGTGGTGTATGTCTGTTTCGGGAGTCAAGCTGTGTTGACCAACGAGCAGATGGAGATGGTCGCACTGGGGTTAGAGAGAAGCCAAATCAAATTCGTCTGGTCAGTGAAGGAACCCACCGTGGGACACGTGGCAGGAAAATACGGTAGGATCCCATCCGGGTTCGAAGATCGTGTGGCTGGAAGGGGGCTTGTGGTTAGAGGGTGGGCTCCGCAAGTTGCTATACTGAGTCATGAGTCGGTGGGTGCGTTCTTGACTCACTGTGGATGGAACTCGATCATGGAAGCGGTGGTGGCCGAGGTTCTGATGCTGACGTGGCCAATGAGCGCCGACCAGTACTCGAATGCGACGCTGTTGCATGAGTTAAACGTGGGAATGAAAGCATGCGAGGGAGCGGAGACTGTTCCTGAGTCGGGTGAGTTGGCCGAGTTGTTCAGAAAATCAGTGAGTGAGGAGACACGAGTTGAGAGAGAGCGAGCAAGGGAGTTTGGTAGGGCAGCGAAGGAAGCAATGGGAGAAAATGGGAGTTCCCTGAAAGAATTGAATAGATTGGTGGCCAATTTGTCACTTGTGGAAGAATAAGAGGACCAATTATCAAAAGTCTAGAAAGTTCTGTGCATTTTGTTTGGTTGTGTTTAAAATATAATAAGAAAAAGGTTATTATATAAATTTGAAGTAAGGAGTGACACATTTTTTATCACATACTTAGTATTAAAATTAAATATATATATATATACATATATATATATATATATATATATATATATCTATACTATCTTATAATACATTTGGCTAAAACTCTTAAAACTCTTAAAAACTCTTAAATCCGTTCATCCCTATCCGATTTCATCCCATATCTGAATTCATGTAACTAACTGCAGATAAACACAATCAAATACAGGATAAACATCTCATTTTAAATATAAAAAATCTAAAATATAATTAGGATAATCATTGAGTTCT